CTTGGCGTGACCGTGTTTGCCAGTCTTGGAGGTGGACATTTCAACAATCTTGCATGGGCGACCCTTGATGACAACGAAGCCGTTCTTCCTCAAGGCGGAACATTGCATCGGGTAGGTGGCCGAAGCTCCGGCATCGGCGGACTCAAAGGTGTGCTCATGCTAAAAACAGGGCATGTCAGTGTCTGGTGCGACGAGGAGATACCTCGACATCTCGATACGGGGGGATTGTAAATGCGGCGACTGGTTTGCGCAAGGACAAAAAGGTGGGGGAGATTTTCAAGGAGAGGCATGCATACCTGCGCGTCGTTGTCCGCCATCGTGGAAAGGTGAGAAGATGTCGCTTACAAAAAGAGAGGAAGATATGCAGTGATGGAAAGGATGATCTCAAAGGGGGAGCGACAAATTCTCGAAAGAGAGGGATGGATGGGAGAACAGGAACCCAGGCCAGGCCAAAGGAAAATATCGTTTTGCAGGAAGTGGGATCTGGGATCGTGGACATTTGCAGAGGGGCAACTTGCCGCCCAATCGATAGCAAGGTGCTAGCCTGTTTGGGAGTAATGGTCTTGGCGTGTGTCTGTGTGTGAAAACTCGCCTCGACAACGCCACCACGAGCCACCAGAGATGGCCGAGTCTTGACGTCAACCCCTTTTCGGTCAGGAGATTGCGCCTGTCACAGTCTATTCTACCTCTGCGCCGAGAAGTTGCTTAAGCGTGTCTGAAGAGGTGACTTCACCTTTACCCGGGTGCGAAACAGAGCCACGGGTCAGAGCAGACAACCGTCTCAGCAGGCATAGCACGTCAATCAGTGAAAATGGAAGAAATTTGCATGTGAGAGGCGCAAATAAGCTATCAAAGGCACAAACATGATGACCTCGTCTACTATATCGTTGTTGCTAACTTGTCCTGCTTAACAACCACCTGGACCCCGTTGGAATCAAGTCTGGGGAATGGAAGGAAGAAGTCGTGAGCCAACTCGACATCACTCTTGTCGGTCTCGTACAGCTCAAACTCAAAGTATCGAAACATAGCTGCCAGTGTCAAGTAGAGCTCAGCGTAAGCGAGGCTAACACATGACGCAAACAATATCAGCACAGGCCACAGAAGTTGGGGAGGGGGATCTGATGTCCAACTCACTTGATTCCCAAACAGGACCTCGTGCCTTTGCCAAACCCTACAAAATACCTGTCCAAACTGGATCCATTCTTAGCTTTGGGGGAGTCGAGCCACCTCTCAGGGACAAAGGACGTCGAATTGGGGAAAATTTCCTCGTCATGGTTGAGAAACGGGATTGTCATCGAGATTGGTGTCCTGGCTGGGATGGTCCATTTGCCGTATTGGATCGGCTTGGGAAATAGACGGGCATTTCGTGCCGTCGTGGAATAGGACAACCGGACGGCTTCCTTTATACAAGCTGACAGATATGGCAGCTTCTCTAGTTCTGTCCACTCGAGCGGCGCGCTGGGGTCCGCCTCGTTGACGTCTGGAATGGCTTCCTCGAGCTCTTTGCGCAGACGTCCAAGTACATTCGTGTCGCTCAAAATATAGAAGGTGGCCACACTGAGTGTCCAGCCGGTGGTGGAAAGCCCGGCGCCTATGATCAACTGTGCTTCATCCTGTAGACGGCGGTCCGACTTCTCACTGGCAGGCAGGTCGCCACGAAGCAGCTCAGAGAAGACAGTGGGGTGCTCGGATTTCTCAGCGAGCGCGTCAATCCTGCCAGCTTTCAAGTCGACGATCTGTTTGGCAAAATCCTGCAAGCGTCAGAAAGGGGTCCAACCAGAAGCAAAAGCACTGTGAAGGCTCACTCGTTGCATCTTGAAGACGAGGGCATATAATGGTTCCAGCTTGACGAGCCAGGACTGTGGTAAGCAATTCAAGATTTTGGGCACCATTGGGAACTGCAGTGACAAGTTTCCACTAATGCTGACGGCCCTGAAAGGGTCATGCAGTATGGGTGTCCATTCAGGAATGTCGAGGCTGTTATAGTCGTGGGCGAAGCAGTATTCCATGATCACATCTTCAGCCAAGGCCATATAGCCCCGGCTGATTACTGCTGGCGCGCCAGATTGCTGGTATTCTCGGGCTTTCGCAATCAAATGATTGAGCTTCTTGCGAATGATGACCTGCAAATCAATGATTCTCTTCCGCGAGAAGAAAGGATTCAACGCGTTTCGTCGTATACGATGCAACTCATCGGGAGCAGTACTCAAGACCGAATTCTCGTTCCCAAAACGACCAGACATCCAGCTGTATTTATCGACCCTCCCGGCCTTGGTATAGATGGTGTCCCAGAAGTCCGAGTCCAGGATATGAACCTCGTCTGGGGTGATACGAACGATTGGTCCTGTTCATCTCGACATGCATAAAGTCAGTCTCAGCCCCAGGCCGGTTATCCGCATCCACCGTAGTCTTGGGACATCTTGACGCACCATACTTCTCGTGAAGGGCCTTGATATAGAAGATGAATTTGCCTTGTAAGTGTACATCGTAGTAGTATTCATGCCATGTGCTTATCGCTGCGTATTTGGGGCCTGGGAAGCGGGCCAACGGGTGAAAGTACAGTCTGTATACGACGAGCCCAAACAGATATGTGAGGCCGGCGACACCGGAGAGGATCAGACTCGTAGAGAGATACGAGTACGACATTGACGACATTGTGCGTCGACTTTGGCAGAGCAAACATGAAGTAATAGAAAAACAGAGTTTCTATCAAAGGTTGAAGAATTGACCTGATTTGATTAATTGCGAATCACTCAGCGCAGCAAATGCCCCGTGAATGTCCGTTACAATCATCATCAATCGAGCCACCCACTCACCCACATGTCTAGACTGCGGCAGAACCACCTCAACCAACTCCAACCACTGCAACATCAAAACTCTTTGCGGCGTCGATCCTGCAACCGATGTCTCTGCCGAGTATTCCTCGTCCGCCATTCGTGATCCTCTATCTCACGTCTAGCCTCTTTACCGCTTAGATCAAGGCACTAGTGAGGTGTTGCGCACCTCAGTTCCGTTCTTCCCGTCTCGCCCCGACGGCGTGTGGTGCAGTCCGTGCCCAATGGCCACCCTTGAGAGTTCGGCATTGCCCTCTGTGGTGCATGTGGTGCCTGTGGTAGGACCTCTCGATGCACAATTCTACTCGTCAGGATAAAGGTGCCGTCCTTGTTTTGGATGCTTGACGACTGCTGACGAGCGACTCATAGTTCAAAATCGTGTCCGTGCGTCCCGATCCTCTTGGAAGCGCCCACCAGATCCCCATTAGCGGTCAGGCGTGGGCTCTTCGACAGACCAGACAATGAATGAATGGAGGAGGGTGGCTTGCTCACAAGAAGAAGAAAACTTGATAGAATCTTTATCTCTCCCGCAAACCTCTCCGGAACTCTGAGCATTCTTCCCTTCTTCTTCCTCCTTTACCCCATAATGTGGATTTTCCGTGGCCGTGGTATCGTGTCGATATGGCTGCTAACGAAAATACAGGATACATCGAACCCGAGCAGTTCAACGACGTCGACTCCGGGCTGGGCGACCTGATCTCGGAATCCGACACCGAGTCGCTGCGGTCAAGCTTGCTGCAGAGCGTCTATGAAAACGGGCGTGGCTATCACAAATACAAGGATGGGCTGTACTTCATGCCAGACGACGAGCGCGAACAGGAGCGGCTGGACATGCAGCACGAGATTTTCCTCAACACTATGAACAACAAACTGCTCGCAGCCCCCGTCGAGGCTGGCGCCACCTTGGACGTGCTCGACATCGGCACCGGCACAGGCATTTGGGCGATCCATTTTGCTGACGACAACCCGCAGTCGACGGTGCTGGGGACGGACCTCAGTCCCATCCAGCCCTCCTTCATCCCGCCCAACTGCAAATTCGAAGTCGACGACTTTGACCAGCCCTGGTGTTTTTCTCAGAAATTCGACCTTGTCCATGGGAGAATGCTTGCCGGCTCGTTGGGGGACCCCCTCAAATTGCTCCAGCAGGCCCACCATGCCCTCAAGCCCGGGGGGTGGGTCGAGCTGCAAGACTTTGCCTTCCCGGTCCGCTCCGACGACGGAACCATGGTGGGAACGGCTTTTGAGCGGCTCAACGACAACCTGGTCCGGGGTCTACATCTGCTGAACCGCGACGGGAGCTGGGCCGCGCAGTACAAGCAATTCCTAGAGCGGGCCGGCTTCGTCAACGTTGTCGAGACGCGGTACAAGTGGCCGCAGAACCGGTGGCCCAAGGACCCGCACCTTAAGAAAATTGGACACTGGAACATGGTCAACACCCTCGACGGTCTGCACGCCTTCTCCGCCCGCCTGTGCACCAAGGTGCTCGGGATGGGGCTGGAAGAGTTTGAGATTCTGTTGGCCGAGTCGAGGAGAGACATTCGAAACCCCAATATCCATGCTTATTGGCCCATGTAGGTGGTTTCCGTCTTTTTTCGTCCAACTCAACCTTGAAAATTTTGAGTGGGGTATTTTCACTGACCGTTCTGGCTATCTATAGTTATGTAGTGTATGGGCAGAAAGCTTGACGGACTGTGTTGATGGGACGGCTTGAAATCGCACTATATGATGCGAGACGTCCATTCGGGAGCATGCGTTTCTTGGGACGGACTCTCCGGGCACTCGTATCCGGGGAGTTCGATAGCCCTAGGGACATGGAGACCCGGCTGCCTCGAACAGATGGTCCCGGACACCATTTATCCAGGCCGTGGATTCCTTGCATCGCCCGCTGGCCTCGATCTTCCTCTGGCGGTTCTGGCTGCTGTAGAAGGTCTGTCGGGCTAACTAACTACCTCCCACCTTTGCCCAAAAAAAAGAAAAGGGTCAAGAATGCAGTGCTAAGGAAGATCTCTGAAGCGAGACCGACAATGACGAGGCACTTGAAGGCCCAAGGTCCAGCCGACCTGAAAATCCTATACACAAAGGACCACGAGGCTATTTTTTGAGCATTCCTGGTGGTCGAACTCGTCACTCCAGCAAGAACTCCAGGAGTCAACGGTACACGTGCACCTACAGTCGCGAGGCTGGCCTATCGTACCCACCGGCTGAACTCTCCCTCTCCTTCCACCCGGCCACCAGGTCTTCTACGACGACAAGCTCATCTTGACCCCAAATGACGCCGCTTTCGGGCGCGCAATTCACCCACCCTTGGTCCGTCTTGTCAAAGACGCGATACGACGGGACACCGCAGATCCCCGCATCGATGGCATCTTGGGTGTTGGTCCGCAATTGCTCCTTGACTTGCGGCGTAGAAGCCTTCTTGAATAGCGTGTCGGTATTGCATCCCGCGGTGGCGAGGTACTCGGCCAGGGCCTTGTCGTCGGAAACGTTGACGTTGCGTTCCCAGCATGCTCGGACTATTTTTGCACTCTCTAGTGGTTAGAGGTGCGGTGACAAGACTCTCTCGTAATAAATGGGGGAGGGGGAAGAGCACAACTTACACAGCAGCGGAGTGAGATTGGGATCTACAATGGCGCAGCGCAAGGCCGTGGGCGTCCGAATGGGGAATTGAGTTGGCCAGTGCATTTCCACCGGCTTATCATGAGATCCGCGTTGCTGGTTGATGCTGTTCCAGTGGCGGATCCAGTCACCCATGTCTTTGTGCATGATATCTCTTTTGGCCTGCGACATGGCTGCCATGGGGAGGTTGGGTGCACCGACTCTGATTTAATCCGTCAAAACTTCGATCGCCTAGGTTTCTTCTCTCCCACTCTTAGGGAGGACTAGCATAGGAAAAAGAACTTACTCTCTGAACAGGGCGCCCACCAAAATGGGCTTCATGACAATCTCGACGTCCGGGCCAAATTGTCTCTTCAGCCGGTCCAGTTGGGTCCAGCCCAAAAACGCCCAGGGACTGCTAAAGTCGTGCCAGAACTCGACGCGTTTCTGCCCGACGGGGAATCCCGGCGCACACCGGGGCTGCAGACTTGCGAGGTTGGGGACCTGGGCGTAGTCGCAGCCGCGTTTCACGGCGATGAGCGACGCCTCGACAAAGTGCATGCGGTCCTGACCCCAGTAGAGGCGACCTTGGTGGGCCTTGCCCTGGTCGTCCACCCACCGCTCCCCGTCGACCCAGAACGCGGGCACGCCACAGGTCCCGCGTGCAATGACCTCGGCGGTCGAGGCGCGCAGGGCCTCCTGGGCGTCCTTATCGTCGAACGCGGCTTCGGTGAGCGACGACGCGCTGCGGATACCGCTTCGCTTGGCTACGTCCAGCAGGACCGACTTGTTGGTGATGTTGAGGTCCTCGACCCAGTAGGCCCTGAAGAGCGCGTGCGTGAGGGCCGGACGCTCCTCCACGGGGACGTAGTAGAGCAGCCGGAGCGCCAGGACCGGGCTCTGCGGGTGCGCCGACGGCCAGTTCAGCTCGACGTGGCTGCGCCGCAAGGACCGGTGCATGGCCCGCGACAAGAGACGTTTCTTGGTCGGGTTGAAGACGTCGGACGCCGACCCGGCGGCGCCCTGCGGGGCGGCCGTCTCGCGATAGATAGCGCCCAGGAGGACAGGCGTCCAGATGAGTTCAGCTTCAGTGCGACGAGCGAGTGCAGTGACGCTAGACACGCCGACAAACAGAGTCACTCGAGTTAGAATAAGTCAAATACTTCTTCTTCGACAGGACTCCCCAGGAAAGGAAAGCGGGGTACATAGTATATATGTATATGCAGTAACCACAATCCCGCAGTTCTTGTAAGTGTATCACCTACCGAAGCGAGCCCATGTAGGCAAACGGGCATGTTACCTGGTCAATTTACACTCGCGTCAATATCCGAGCGTGTCTGGTCAAGAAGGGGTCGTCTCAAGAAGACCCCGAGGCAAGGGCGCTCGAGGCGTAGACAGCAGACGGTAGATACAGGATGGGATGGGATATTTGACCCATGTGATGTCTAACATCCAACACCCAACACCCAACATCCAATCTAAAGACAAGCCAGCCAGCCAGAAAGATAGGTGAAAAGGGTCAATCAAGAGAAATCAAAAACGTACATCGTAGTAGAATTTCAGCGTTGGTCTGTCCTGGCGAGCCATTTTCCTTTTTGTCTGTGCCTCTCTCGGAGTCTTCTCGAGATGGGTGTTTCGGGTGGTGGTGGTGGTGGTGGTTGTTATTTCTGATGATGACTCTGCCGTAGGATCGCAGGGTGGTAGGTATCGCAAAGAGGGGGAGAATATATCAAATGATAGATCAGACTTCGCTCGTGGGTCAATGTCAACGTCAATGTCAAATGTCAATGTCGACGTCGAAGAGAAGAGGTCAATGAAGTGAGGTGAGACTATTCAAGTCGACATCTCGTCAACACTCACTTCCGAGGGACAAAAACATTGAACATTGAAAATAGGTTATGAAATGGGGGGGAGTAATTGACTCGAGTAAAGATGAAGCTTTTGTTAAATAAGGACCCGTCTACAAAACTTATATGTATGTATGTAAATTGGTGAGTGAGAACTAGCACCTCCTACCTCGTCATCTCTGGTTGTTGTTCAGGGTCGAACCTCGGCAACCCGGTAAATGGAACGAGAAATCCAAAACGACTAAGCGGGCAAGGCGGGGTCCATCACACAGCCTCGTCGTCTAACGGCCAAACACCGACCGAGCCTTTGCACCGTGCAACAAATATAAAAATGTCCAGACAGCCAGAATGCCTCGTCCACCTCGGTGGCTTGACTGTTCTTGTGCTCGGTGACGCAAATCACAATATCGTGAATCACATACCGGCAAACACCTCAGTTGACCCTGACTTCTGGGCTTGAGCTCGTGCCTGGCGGACGTCTTCAGGCAAGATAGAGGTCCAAATTAGCAGAGTAAAAGAGCGAAAATGCCAAAGAGGAGGACGAAATAGACATTGGCGCACGTGACGGGGAGCGGGACCACATCTGACCCGGTTCTGGGAGAAGGTGTAGGTCAATCGACGGATTCTACTTGCACAGAGGCACAAGTAGGACGGGTAGGCAGATAGGTATTGTCCGGGGTCAGAAACAATTTCGGTAGGAGACCGATAACTATCTAACGCCCCAATCGAACGGCTTCGTTAGCTGCCGGACAATGCTTTCACCTCGACCGCCACCTGTGGAACGTTCTTCGTGATGTTGGCCTTGACTCCCGCCTTGCGCCATCCGTTGAGCGTCGCTGGCAAGACCTTGAGCGCTGGCTCGAGATAGCCATCGTGGGCCAGGCACACCAGCACGTCCTCCCTCTGACTGATCTCGTGCAGCTTGCCTATCGTCGCCTTGGCCGTTTCAAGGTCCTTGTGCATGGAATACGCCCCATTGGGTCCGTGTCCTTCGCCCAGCATGCCCTCGCCAGTAAAAATCTTCCTGTGGTGGCAACAGTCACCACCCATGACCACATATTCGTCCAATCCTGTACGAGCGAGCCCCATCAGATGACCCGGCATATGTCCAGGCGCGTCGAGGAGGAGAAAGCTCCCGTCACCGAAGAAGTCGAACGCCTTGGGGAATGGACCGAATGGTATCCATTGATCTTCTTCGTATGAAAGTTCGCGGACACTGGGATGTTCGAGGATGGAACCTAAGAAAGGCGAATCTGGATTTGTTGGGTACCCCGGGTATGAAGCAGCCTTTGAGCCTGGCCCTACCACAACCTGGCTGTGCGGAAATTCTCCTGGATTTCCGACATGGTCAAAGTGAAGATGACTATAGACCACATAATTGATCGATGTGGCCGGGATGCCTGCCTCTTCGAGCAATTCAGCGGCACTTTTGGGTACTCGAGGCTCGGTGAGAACAAATTCTTCTCGAATGCATCTAGGGTATGCTTCCAAGTCCTAAGCAAAGTGTTTTAACACCAACAAAATCCTCCAGTGCGGAGACCAGAGTTCCATACCTTGCGAATACCCAGATCAAACATGAGACTTCGCCCGCTTGCTTGATGGTGGACATAGAAGCTGTAGTCCGGATACAATGTCTTTGTCGCAAGGTCTGCCCCAGCAAGAATCCATTTGTCTGGCAAGAAGAGTTGCCCCGTGGGTACCAACGACACCTGCACAATCTGCTCTTTGTGAGTCCCGTTCTGCATCTTCAGCAACTGTGCCTGCTGCGTGCACGACTCACATTCCAAATCACCGAGTAGACAAGCCTTTATTGTTTGGTGCTGGTCTTGTCGCAACAGATCTCCATCGCGGATGTGCGCGGCGCAACAATTCTCCTCGCACTTCTGTTGACCCTACCCTGTCTGGCGTCGCCCTTCAATATGGCGAAAGAGGAAGATGGCGAGTCGCCGGCAGGAGGAACCTTTCGGGATCTGATCCCGAAGGTAACTGAGACTTTTCCATTAGGAAGGGATCCGCGGCTTCGATGGCCAAGGCGCCTACCTCTGCAATTGGTCAGTGGCCACAGTCGCTCTTGATGGCTTCTTCTCGGCATGGCCTGGATTCGAAGGTTGGGAACCCGTCGTTGTCGCTTCGTGCAAACAGACTCCGCAATCTCCGCAATGCAATGCAATTTGACGCACTGCTAGCACGTGGAGAAGTTGGGGTTGGAATGTGTGGGAGCGAGAGGGAAGTGAGTGGGAACCTGAACCTGAGGATTTGGTGGAGGATGTTGGGCTTGGCTTACAGTTTACAGCAGTTTGTCGCAGTTTGCTGCATTCTCGTGATTGCTAGACGCAGTCAACCTTGCACGTATCTTACTTTTTTTTCCCAGTCCAAGCCGATGTACATCTATTCAATTCATCGAGTCTATTCAGCTGGAGATACAGTATCGTCTCGGTGGAACCAAGAAAATTGGCTCTTAAAGGACAAGATCAAAGGTGATGAACGAGCTCCAAGACCTCGACTCCGGCCATGATATCAACTATCCCCCTTCGAAGCGACGACGAGTCGGCATGGCTTGTATTCCCTGTCGCACACGGAAAGTGCGGTGCGATGGAACTCGGCCAAAATGCTCTGCTTGTTTGCGCAATTGCACCTCGTGCGCATATCAGCCTGCAAGCCAGATGGTCAATGTCTCCCGAGAGTGAGGAACTATGTCGAGTTATTTCTCGAACCTGTCTAATCGAATTCAGATACATAATGAAGCTCAAGCAAAGGGCGGAAGCAGCAGAACAACGTCAAGGGGTGGTAAACTCTACCGAGCCCAGTCCACCGTTAACCCAACGACGACAGGACCTTCAGCGCCGCGAAATGCTGAGGAATTCTCTGGAAGAGGCCACCTCGAGTATTTCAGAACTAGTTTCATACTCACGCAACAACATCAGCACGACTCGAAGTCGAGACGTTGAGCGTGCCCAAGACAAACAGGTGGCGGACTCCAACAATGGCCCAGGAACCGTAAATCAGCTCGACAAAAGCCCCGGTCATGGTCGTCCACCGCTACATCAAGGACTCAACGAGGAAAGAATAGCAACAAAGGACTTTTCGTCCAAAGTGTCCTCGGTGGAGAAAGCGGACAGGCCTCGATCTTGGTCGCTCCCCGCCTCTCACGATGCCACCAGTTTCGAAGAGCCCAACCCCGATGACTTCTACGGGGATTCGTCTACCCTCTCCTTCATGCAAGCTGTCCAAACAACAATCATCTCAAACTCGTCTCCGGATTCGGTGTCGCCCGACTCGAATTATAGAAGTGGAGCCAAACCACGCCCGACCCGAGCAGTCTCATTCCGATTTGGCGTTGAGAATTGCTTACCTCAAAGATCTCTTGCTGACGACCTGGTCAATTCCTACTTCCGCTACGTCCATATCCTGTACCCCTTCTTACATCGGCCTTCATTTGAGGCTCAGTACGAACGCACCTGGGTCTCAGGAGAACAACAAGACGATCAGTGGTTGGCAATGCTGAATGTCATTTTCGCCCTTGGGATCCATTTTGCATATGGACAGGAAGACAAATCTGCAGCGAGTGATAGGTTCTTTGGCTATGCGCAGAAGCTCGTCTCAATGGAGCAGTTTGCCCACGCAAATCTGCAAACACTTCAACTTCTTCTGCTCAGCGGTCTCTACTATCAATCTACCAGTCGTCCGAACCAGACATGGAACGTGATAGGGTTAGCCATAAGGATTGCCACAACCATCGGAGCCCACGTTGATCCAATGCCGTCACAATACAATCCCTTGCAGATTGAAATACGGAGAAGATGCTGGTACGGGTGTATTGTCCTCGATTCGTGGGTAGATCTGGCACACCTTGTTGGAACCTGCTAACCTGTTTCAAGGGTTTTGGCGCTGAACTTTGGACGTCCCACTGCCATTCCAAGTACCTTTGGTGTCTCACTTCCTTCGAACCTCGACGACGAGTATATTACGGAAGAGGGATACCTTGAACAGCCCGAGCACGTTCGACCCAAGATAACGGTATTTATCAAATCAGTGGCTTTCTGCTCCATCATGAAGGACGTATTATACACTCTCTATTCGCCCCTCAACGGTTCTGGTCACCAGCATAGTGGCAAGGCTTCTGCGCCTCCCGAATTCAAGGACGCGGTCAACCTGGACAAGAGCCTGGTTGAGTGGTTTCGAGGCCTTCCAGAGTACTTGAAAGTAGGGGCTTTGGACGAGATGGAGGAATTTCGGAGAACCAGAAATATCCTCCTTGCCAGGCAAGCCAGCGTACCTAGCGAGAGGCTTTCCTACGGCTGACGCTTGCAGATTTCTGAATCTCAGGGTTTTGATCCATCGACCCTTTGCTTCTCTGTGGCAGCAGTCGTCTGCTGCCGCGGAGCCGGTTTACCTCGCCCCCCTTGACAACTCTCTTCACGCCATGTGTGTCACGGTGTGCAAATCAGCCGCCGTTCAATTGGTGAATGTCATTAGCAACAACTATTATCAAGGACTGTCTAGCGCGTGGTGGACGGATATGAACTGTAAGTGCACAAATGCAATCATCACGCACGAGAATGTCTGTTCGAGCATGAGCACAACCTGAGGCATCGCATAAGAGGATGTTTTGGTTGAATAACACTCCATGAATCCTGCCGCATCGGCACGTACTGACCACATCTCTCTACTACTAGATCTATTCACTGCAGCAACGGTGCTGCTAGCCATCGAATACGAATGCGAAGACCCGGAAGAGAGTGACGCGACCGAAAGTGCTTTTGAACAATCCCTCATCATCCTGGGCGAAATGCAAGGCCGCTCGTCCATGGCATCCTCATATGTCACCATGTTGAAAAAGGCAAAGGAAGCTCAAGAATCAGCGCAAATCGCGCCATTGGCCGCTACTTCATCGCCCCGAGCACGTTCGAATAATGCGCCTCCGCGGAATTCTTCGTCGACTTCTGAAGTCGTGTCTGGTGGGATCAACCTGGAAGAGTTTTTGAAAGATGACACCAGAGCCGATGCTCCTTTCCCGTCTTGGAACATGCAGGACTTTTTCTTGGTCCCTTGGGATATGATGATGGTTGATAACCCTATGCCTACGTTTCAATCTTGACAACTAGACGATGCACCAGACACGTTCTGGGCCATCAAAGACATGTTTCTCCGGGTCTCTTTGGAGATGAATTCTATATGTCCACTGTTTCGCCTTCTACCCATTTCTTACACTGTCGGTACAGTTCATCATGAGCTCGGCCGCAGTCGTTGTCACCTTCACGCCGATGGCCGGGCATGTCCAATTTCACCTTGACTCCCATCACGGCCTCCTGACAGTATGCTAGGTAACGATAGCCAGTAGGATACAACTTGAGCTTTTCGTCATCCAGCACCGGTACCTTTGCAGGATTGACGGGGATCAATTTGTCCTTTTCATACCAGTGCCGGACGAAGCGGGCAGCCCACACCCCGGTGGCCACGTCCCTCTCCCAGAAGAAGCAGAAGCGACAATCTGACTCGGCGTCGGCCTCGATCCCATCGAGGTCGAATCGCTGCGTGATGGCAGCTTTCATCTTGGTCACGGCACGTGTGCCTTCCACGTTGATATCCGTCGTCGTTCCGTGAACCCGGTGCATTATAAAAGCCCCGTTATCCATGCCCCTTTTCGAGGCTTCGATGAAGTCCTTGTACGGCGTCCGGCCCGTCCAAGTTGTGTACACATAGGCGTCTGGATGGAAGATTGAAGCGAAATTCTCCCACTCGCAGGCATCCCTGGAAGAGACTTATTGTTAACATACATCCACCTCGATTTTGCGACTGTCTGAGAGCAGGTCAATACCTATAACACGGCCACCCTTCGGCCAGTTCGCGCAGCTTGTAACGTTGTAAAGCGAGGTCGTCTGGCCCATTGTTGCGGATCGCCTTGTCTGGTCGAGAACCATCTGGGAGGGAATGCAGATCAACCATGGTCCAGGTCTCTCTGGCCAGACTGATGTCCAGTTTCTGTCTAATTCGATGAAGCTTATGTCTTTGGGGGTCGGCTCCTCGCCTGCCAGATCTGGTAACAGAGATTGAACTGAAGATTGGCCTCTAGGGACGCTGAAGGCAGAATGGCGGGGGTGAGATGACCAATACTTGTCCGATTCGAGCGATGCCTTCTGTCCGTCAGACACACGAGGTACCTGGCGCTCGGTTTGCTCTGCCTTCGGGAAGAGATCCCGCACAGGCGAGACCTTGGTGCGCCAGTGGCCTCGATACCCGGGGGGCTAGCGACAGAGGCGCGGCCAACCGCCGGCGAACCAATGAACGACACTCGCAACGGTCTTGGTCCCGTATGGCCCTAGATGGACGGCTTCACGGTGTGCACACACACACACGGGAGGTATTGTCACAGCGCGCACGAGAGTTCTGGCTCGTATACCACCCACCCGAGGGGCTAGGAGGAAGCTCTTCCTTGGTGCAAAAGATGGACCGATATAACAGCCATGTCTGGACGTTTGGGGCCCCCTCTCCACCAAAGGTACAGTGCAGGGCACCATGGCTTCACCGAGAGTGGTTGACATGGCCGTCGACGCCGCCTCGTATATCCGGTCGCACCTGGGGTTGACCGTGACGGTGTGTGTCGTGCTGTACTTCGTCTCCCAGCGGTACAAGACCGGCCTTCGACACATCCCGGGACCCTTTGTGGCCAGTTTTTCGGGCTTCTGGAGGGCGTGGGAGGTGGCCAAGGGAGACTGGCACGTCAAGAATCTCGAATTGCATCGACAGTATGGTCCGCTTGTCCGCATCGCCCCGAATGTCGTCAGTGTCTCTGATCCGGATGCACTTCGTGTCATTTACGGGCTGAACAGTGGCTTCACAAAGGTGCGAAACTGGATATGACCCTCTCTCTCTTTCTTTCCCATTGACCATGGCATCAAAAAGTCAGCTAACACCGCGGCAGACGGACTTTTATCCCATCCAGGAAATGAAATACGGTAAAATCTATCTGGCGAATCTCTTCTCCACCAAGAGCGACGAGTTCCACGCCAAACAGAAGAGGTCGGTCGCCACGGCCTACTCCATGACCTCGATGCTGGCCTTTGAGCCGTACGTCGACAACTGCTCCGAGCTCTTCTTCAAGAGGCTCGACGAGCTGTACGTGAACCCGCACCGGCCCTGCGACCTGGGCAAATGGCTGCAGCTCTACGCCATGGACGTGATCGCCGAGGTGACGTTTGGCAAACGATTCGGGTGTATGCAAGAGGGCGGCGACGTGGGGGGCTTGATCGACACCATCGACAAGTTCCTGGTCTACGCGTCGGTGGTGGGCCAGGTCCCCTACCTGCACAAGTTCCTCTTTGGCAATCCCCTACTGCCCTACATCCTGCCCAAGCTGGACAGCATCAACCACGTGGTCAAGTTCACGCTCGAGCGCATCTCGGAGCGCGAGAAGGACTCGGAGCGCCACAAGGACTTTTTGGGGAGACTGTACGACGCCAAAGCCGAGGGCAAGATGGAGGCCGTCGACATTGTCCGACACAGCAGCGCCAACGTCTTTGCCGGCAGCGACACGACGGCGATAGCCCTCCGCGCCGCCATCGACGGACTGCTCGCGAACCCGAACTGCTACCGCAAGCTCCAGGCGGAGATCGACCAGAAGCGGGCCGAAGGCAAGCTCTCGCTGCCCGTCAAGTACGCCGAGGCGCAGCAGATGCCGTACCTCCAGGCCGTGCTCAAGGAAGGCATGCGGTACCACCCGTCCGTGTCGTTTTTGCTCGAGAGGCACGTCCCCAAGGGCGGCACCGTCGTCTGCGGCACCCGCATCCCCGAGGACACCATCGTCGGCGTCAACGCGTGGGTCGTCCACCGCGACCGCAAGGTGTTTGGGGACGACGCCGACGTCTTTCGACCGGAACGGTGGCTGGAGGCTGACGAGGCGCAGCTCAAGGCCATGGAGAGGGCTTTTTTTGTGGTGAGTTTTACCAACAAAGTACCCTGAATTCCCCTCCCGTCTTTGCCTTGGTCTCCCCTCTCCTCTCTCTTCTAACCCCCCTCGTCTCCTGTCTCCTTCTCTTCTCTTCTCCCCTCTTGTCCAGCACCTCGCGCTAACATGAGAGGAAAAACTCTGTCACAGTTCGGCGGCGGCTCCCGGACCTGCACCGGCCGCAACATCAGCCTGATGGAAATGTCCAAGGTGATCCCCTCCCTGCTGATGGTGTACGACATTGAGCGCGCCGACCCCAAGGCCCGCACGCACACCAAGACGTACTGGTTCGCCGTGCAGAGGGGTTTGGTGTGTAAAATCCGGAGGCGGCGGGAGAGGGAGGATTCGAAAGTCTGAGGGAGGGGGGGGTGGGGGGGGGGGTTTGGGGCTGGGAGTGGCCAAGGTCTGAGGATAAAAAGGCAGAGAGGCGGCCTAGGCCAAGGCTAAGGCTGACTGAGGATGAGATATGCGATTGTGAGGCGGGGTTTGGGGATTGGATTTGGGAGTGGGTAGTGGATAGTGTATACTTCCAGGACAAGAGAGAGATGTTCTTGTACCTACTGGATCGTCGTCACTCATTCACGGGGCGAAGGAACACCTAACACAGTAGAAGGTGTCAGTCAAGCAGACGGGGCAATTGTAGGTATATGTATGTATGTATGTCCTTGTTCTGCTGCGTTCAAGATGAGATGAGATGATTGAACCAGTACCTTACTTGCCTTGCGTGCTGCGATCTGCGATCGCTGATCGGTTGATTGGTAGATCATAGCTTCTGTCAGGGACAGGTACATGTAACATACATACATACAAAAGAAATGTACACTCATATACGAGGTATACCAACGAGGTACACGATAAACACTCTTTTTGGTCTGTGCGAGAAAGCTACTATACCCAACATAATCCACCCATCCCAGAAGCAGTAAAAGTCCTAGACACGGCAACTGGAGTAACCAGATAGCCAGATCGACCTTGAACCACCCCCCCCTCACAGAGTGATTCGGACAGGCCCCGACCAGCGACGCAGACGGGCGCCATAGACCTGAACAAAGACGAGAATAACATAGGCGGCGACGACGATGACGGCCTGCAGACCAAAGGAGACGTCGAAGCCCATCTTCAGCCCCCACGACTGCTGGAAGTAGCCGACGGTGAAGCCGCCGAGGACGCGGGCAAAGTTGAGCAGGGCCGAGACCTCGCCCGAGGCCGAGGGGTAGCAGTCGAGGACGTAGGCGACGGTGGCGACCGAGACGACCATGACGCCGAACTGGAACATGCCCCAGCCAAAGACGATGGCGACCCAGTGCCAGTGGCGCTGCAGGGCCTCGCCGACCAGCACGAGCCCGGGCACCATGAAGACGCCGCCAATGTAGTTCGTCCACAGGCGCGTCTCGGGCACGAACAGGCCGTGGTGGCGCGTCACGTAGCGCGCCGCGATCCAGTCGTTGAAGTAGTGCCCAAACGCCTCGCCGATCAGGATGGCCACAAACGGCGTAAAGTACATGTACCCGCACGCGATCGAGCTGAAGCCGTACCCGCCGGCCTCGACGGGCGTCTGGAGCAGGATCGACGACGTGATGTTGATCCCCACCGACCACATGAATATCATCAGGTAGAACAGCATCGACAGCGGGATCACGGGCTTGAGCAGCACCTCGCCCAGCCGCCCGTAGCACCGCGGCAGCGTCGAGAAGTAGCCGTTTCCGTGGTGCTGGATCTGCCACACGCCCAGCACCCGCGACAGTCGCCCCAGCTGACCGCCGGGTCGCGGGGGCTGTTGCGACGGCGGCACCGAGCGCTTGTAGTAGGTCTCGTCGCCGAACATCAGCGTGAGGCAGAGCAGGAAGCACGACCAGGCAAAGACGAGCCAGAAGACCGGGCGCCACTCGCCCAACGTGCCCACGATGAAGTTGCCGCAAAAGGGGCCGACGAAGGGCGAGATGATGTAGATGGCGTACCAGACGCCGATTTTCCGCGCGTGCTCGTGGAAGAAGAACATGTCGTGGATAAAGGCCAACCCAATCGTCTGGCCCGTGCTCTGCGTGACGCCCTGCAACGTTCGGAAGCCGTAAAAGGCGGCAAAATTGGGTGCCAGCGCCGAGCCCAGCGTGAAGGCCGCGCCCATGACGGAGCTCCAGAACAGCACGGGCGTGCGGCCCCAGTAGTTGAGCAGGGGCATCCAGATGAGGCCCGAAACACCGCACATGATGACGTTCAGGTTGCCAGCGTAGTTGACGACCACGGGGGACATGTTCCATTCGATCCCCTGCACGACGATGGTGCCGACGCCAGCCCCGGATCCAAAGTCACCGGCAAAGGCTCCAAATGCCACGCAGATGAGGATCATGTGCTTTTTGAACGACGACCAGTTCAGCGGGTCATCTGGGTCGTCGGATGGTTGGGGGATCAGCACGGTTTGGCCATCTTTGGCGAGCTTGAGGTTGTTCACGCCGGACCCTTTCTCAGCGCCAGGGGTGAGCCGGAGGAGAATCTCTCCATTGTCCATCTCAATCTGTCCCCGGTTTAGAAGTGTGTCCCCAGACATATTCATCACTTGACTCACCTCTTGGTCATCGTGGGCCAGGTGTGCTGTAGTATTGACAGGCACGTCCTCGGCATGGATTGTATGCTTTTCCTCTCCTGCCATGATGTTGATTTGTTGTGCTGTGGCCACCACAGTGTGGCCAAAGTTGATGTGGACAAGGTTATCTCTTGTTAATATGCTTCCTACACAGGGTAGCCACACACTTCAGGCCAGAGCAAGCGGGCATAGTCCGGGGTTCGCGTCAATCCGGGGTACTTGTCCGGGGTCGGAAACGAATCCCGCGGGAAATTTGTAGCCTTGAGGGACAACTTTGTCATGCGCTCGGACGTAGCATCGTCGGGATCGCTGGCCGGACATGACCATGACTTGCTGCCAGGCCATGGCACGGTGGATTTATCTCCGTCGAGACCGTCGGAGGCAGCCTGCATCAGGTTTTGACACCAAGCGAAAACCTGGCTTGGGTGGCGATTCTTGACAGAGAGAAGCCAGCGGCGGAAAGCGTCATCTACTGTGTCCGCCATGAGATGGGTCTAGATGGCCAGATTGAGGGGAAACGTGATAGACCGACATTAGGCAGTTGTCTTGCGCAGGCCTCCAAGTCTTTGTACTCCATGTCACATGTCACAATGAATTGAATAGCAGGGGAGGCCAGATAAAGAAGTGAATTCGCACATTCGCGCTGATTGGGCATGCATCGTGACAAGCTCCACGGTCCGCAAAAACGATAGATGTTGAAGGAAGAGGACATCACAAATACTGTGGGGGTTCAAGTAGAAGAAACCAAAAACAAAATACATTCTGATATTGGTCAATCTCGAACTACAAACAGTGAAACAAAAACAGCCAAAAAGCTCCGAACGTGGTTCGAACACGTGACCTAGAGATATTTGAGCAATGGAAAACTGCAATCTCTCGCTCTACCACTGAGCTATCGAAGCTCTGCTGTCGATGCGACTTCAAGTAACCTTTTTGGGGAGTCTAAAATATAAACAGTCATAAATGTGTGTGCCTCGGCTAGGGCTGGAGTGTGGGGCTTATGGGCACAAAGCGGCGTATTGCCGGGTGATTCTCCCGGCGTGACAGCCTTGTCGCTGCCTTCGCCGTACTCCCATGACATGACTGTGGGATATACTCGTTGCTTCTGGCCACCATAGCTGCATTGTACTACGACGAGATGCCACTCCTCTGGCATGGGCATACACCGTGACACAGTGTTACGATTTGCAGAAGATTCAAGCCAACTCACTTTCCATTACTTATGGCTCTAAGGAATCTAAACATCCTAGCTAAAGCACGGCCCTTACAGATCCATCACTCGCGTCATCGGCTCAGCGAGAAGGTCTTGTGCCTTCCGGGTCAGACCTGGGGTGGGAGTTAAGCAGGGATACCCTCCTCAGTATTTCCAGGGTGCATGTACTTACTCTCAAAATTGTCCAAGAACTCCTTCTCTGGATCGTACCCCCACAGGAATGACTGTGCCTTCGTGTCGCCCAGCAGGTCCGGGTTTTCCCCGCCCTTGGACACTGACTTGAACTTTTCATCTCTTGCCTGCTGTTCCGACCCGTCGTGGAGGTGCAAGACCCGGCGTGTGGCGCCACCTGTGCTGGCGACGTGCTCTGCACGGGCTTTTCGAGCTACCTCGAAAGCCTTGAGAAGTGTAGGTATCTCCTCTGCCTTCGATACCCGGTTGAGGGCCAAACAAACGACGCCGACGTCTTCAATCGCTTGAGCCGCCCCTTGGGCAACATAAGGGAGCATGGGATGACAAGCATCACCCAGCAGCACCACCTTTCCCATCACCCAGGTTGGAAGTGGATCATGCTCGCACAGTCGCCATTTCATCACATTCTCGTCGGGGATAAAATCCAAAAGCTTGCGCAACCGAACAGGATCCCACGATCCAAAGTGATCCAAAATCTCCTGCTTGGAGGCTTTCGCAGTCCAGGACTCCTCCGAGAAGCCCGTGTCTGGGTGGCACATGACCTACAAATTCAATGAGTGACGCGAACCGGGCACAAAACGCTATCATACCATATTATAAAGGCTTCCATGGCGGATGGGATAAGCCTGTACATGTCTGTCTGGACCCATCCATCTTGTTGCCACGGGTTCTGTGATGAAGGCTCGCAGTTCTGGATCTGTAACAAGCTCCAAGGGTATGCATGCCCGAAATGCTGCATCTCCTGTTGGCTTCGCTTTGTCGAGGAGACCAAGCTTTTGGTAAATCAATCTCCTGCAGGTAGATTTCATCCCTGGCTCTGTGAGTAGACGAACAAGACGTGATTTGACACACGCACCATCTGCACCAATAACCACATCTGCCTCAAGGACGCTGCCATCCGAGAGAGTCACCGAAGGCTTGTCAAAGTCAAGACTGGTAACCATGCTGTTGATGCGAACTTCGGCCACCGCCTCGGCCTCTCCCATCAAGGCTTCGTGGAGATCCGCACGGTGAATCGCATACTGCGGCGCCCCGTGTCTCCTCTCAATCTCGGGCATGAGGGTGGCTGCACCGAGAAATTCGCCGTCTTTCCATCTCCTCAAATCAATTCGTGTGAGAGAGTTCGTGTGTTGGCGGACACGCTTGTCGAGACCCCATCGACTGAGGAGGCGTGTGAGGTTCGGAGAGCAATTGATTCCTGCGCCCACTTCAGCAATCACCGGTGCTGCTTCCAAAACAATAACTTTGTGCCCCGAATGGCCTAATATGCCGGCCAGCGCCAGCCCTGCCACACCCGCTCCGACAATGATGACACTTAGAGGGTGGTTGGCTTTCAAGTATGGATCACTTCCATTGGTACCTGAATGCGAGTGTCCGTTGGCATTGCCGTTCTCGACACCATTCGTGTACACTCCAGTTGGCGCTGTGGTCTCGGACGAAGGCATCGCGGCTGGCACACGAGAAGAGGCTATGACTCGGTCGTGGGCGCCTCTAGAACTGGACCTTGATACTGAAATTTTCAGTCACAAGGATACCTATAGAGATGACCGAGAAGTTTGGTCAATCCTTTTTACAAGCCTGGAGAGGCGGGGTACAAGGTCACAGAATGGAGTGTACAACATTTCGAATACTAACCCCAGAGCATCGCCTTCCGGCACAGGTACGGCACAGGTACGGCACAGGTATGCCTTCAGGATGGTGGTGGAGTGGTGCTCGGTAACTCGATCCTGCCTGTACGGGATCGTCTCCCGCGGGGAGTAACAAACCCCAGCACAACGCATACACACACGTGACCTAGATAGACCGAGTTCTCAGGCTCTGAAACATGGTCTGCCAGTTCCAGAAAGTGCTTAGTCGATAGAACCGCGGACGTGGGGACGAAATTGAGAAGAACCGAACATAGACTTGTGCATAAAACGTACCGGTTCCCACCAAAAAGGATGCGCGATCAGCGGAGTCGGAAAGTCGAGTTGATCAAACATATATCGGACAATGAGTAAAATGGGCCACAGCAGCTTGAATGGTCAGCATGTGGACAATGTTCCCCTCTGGATCGACAATAAGCCGGTGCAATCGGGAACCACATTCAGTGTCATAAATTCGACGTCTCAGAAGACAGTATGGACTGCATCGTCTGCCACTGTGGAACTTGCTCAAGCGGCCGTTGAATCTGCTTCCAAAGCATTTCAATCATGGGCGCACACCCATCCAACAGAGAGAAGGCGCATTTTCTTCAAAGCTGCAGAATTGTTCAGATCCCGACGGGACGAGATCATTGACATCATGGTTCAAGAGACCAACTGCAGCAGACAATGGGCTGCTGGAATCAATATGCACATGGGAGTTGAGTTCTTGGAAGAACTCGCCAGCCTTGCCACTTCTTCCTGTACTGGTTGGTTACCGACGACAGAAACTGAAAGTGTGTAAGCCCTGGATCCCGCAAGTTCCCAGCTAACGGCGAAAGGTCGTTTGGCTCTTGTCTTCAAGGTGCCCTATGGCGTTGTCCTAGGGATTGCGCCGTGGAACGCCCCCTTCATCCTAGCAATTCGAGCAGTAGCCACACCGATCATATGCGGAAACACCGCAGTCCTCAAGGCGTCAGAATTGAGTCCTAAGACTCACAACATCATTGGACAAGTTTTCCGCGACGCAGGCTTGCCGCCTGGAGTGCTAAATATCGTGCAGCACTGCCGTGAAGATGCAGCCGAGGTGATAAATGCCATGATATCGCACCCAGCAGTTCGAAAAATCAACTTTACAGGTTCGACGGCGGTGGGGAGAATCATTGCACAGCAAGCTGGCCGTTACCTCAAGCCTGTCTTGTTGGAGCTGGGCGGCAAGGCTTCGTGCATTGTCCTTGAAGACGCGGACTTGATCAAAGCCGCAAAGGCCGTTGTGATGGGAGGGTTCTTGCACGTGAGTTAGTCCCCCTACAATCTCGAACGGCGTTGACAGAACATAGCACGGCCAAATCTGCATGGCGACAGAGCGAGTCATCGTCATGCGGCGGGTTTCCCAGGAATTCTTGAAGATACTGAAAACAGAAGCAGAAGCATTTGTCGCCGGCAATGCCGTGTCTACAGATGGGGCGAAGAGAACAGAGTCCTTGGTCGAAGCTGCAGTAGAACAGGGCGCTCACCTAGAATTTGGACATGCCATGCGTCTCAATGCATCTCTTCAACCAACAATTCTCAGTGGCGTAACAAAGGACATGGCATTGTTCTATACCGAGAGCTTTGGGCCGACAATCAGTCTGACCATCGTCGACACTGTGGACGAAGCAGTTAGCTTGGCTAACGACTCGGAATACGGTCTCTCAGCGAGCATATTTTCCCAGAATATTCCGAAGGCGTTGAAGTGTGCCAAACGGATCGAGACTGGCGCCTGCCATATCAATGCCATGACGATCCACGATGAACCTTTTCTTCCACATGGAGGAGCAAAAGAGAGTGGGTTCGGTAGATTCGGGGGCCAGTGGGGAATGGACGAGTTTCTCCAAGTCAGAACCATAACAATACTAGACGAGGAAAGTAATAGTTAGCGAGCTCGATTGTCCCTTAGGAGACTGCTGTCGGCTGTATTCAGGTCAGCAGCTACGACAATCAGCCGCTTACCCGGCATACCCGGTCATTGTTCGGATTCATATACCGGCCATGAGCCACGTACAATGACACCACGTGACCGTCTGTGGTTGCTATAACTGCCGCTCTGTCTCCAAGGGTCCTTACACAGGCACCCAAACCACGAAATGGCACCCGATTCGACGTCTAATAGCTTAGGGGGCACAGTCGCTCTGGTTGTCTCTGCAAAACATGGACCGTTCGAAGTGAAAGAAGTACAACTGAATGATATGCGATCCGATGAGATTGTGGTCCGTATGATAGCGACGGGTGTCTGCCATACGGACGTGGCTACTTCCATAGGGAATAGAGGCCCTCAATTACCAGCTATCCTCGGCCATGAAGGTTCCGGGGTGGTTGAAAAAGTCGGCTCTGAGGTGAAACATGTGGTTGTTGGCGATCATGTGCTTTTGTCGTTCAACTATTGTGGGAATTGTACCCCTTGCCGTCGAGGAAACCCGGCATACTGTCGACACGGGTATCATTTATCTTTTGGCGGATGTCGCCTGGATGGGAGCAAGCCGTTCTCTCTCGACGGAGTCGATATCAACTCCACCTATTTTGGCCAGTCTTCTTTCGCCGCTCGCTCCATTGTGAGCGGAGTCTGCGCGGTCAAGGTCTCGCCAACCGTCCCACTAGACATTCTTTGCTGTCTAGGTTGCGGAGTTCAAACGGGAGCCGGCACTGTCTTGAATGTTCTCAAGCCCAGCATAGGAGCATCGGTTGCAGTATTCGGAGTCGGCTCGGTTGGTCTTGCAGCGATCATGGCGGCAGCCAGATTCACACCGGCCACAAAAGTGATTGCGATCGATATCGTGGACTCCCGTCTGCAGCTGGCGACAGAGCTTGGTGCGACACACACAATCAATTCGGCAGGGAAAGACGTGGTCGCAATGATCAAAGACATCACCGATGGTGAGGGTGTCGATTGTGCTCTCGACGCGACAGGCAACGTTGCTGTCATCGAGTCTATGATTGCAGCAGCGGCCAAGAACGGAACAGTGGCAACAGTTGGAGGAGCTCCCCCAGGGAAGTTTGTGAATATTGAAGCGGCGGCGTGGATAGGCAGAAACGTCAGCTATGTTGGCTCATGTCAAGGTTCTTCATTTCCGCAGACGGTATGATCGCCTGGAGGTGATGGCTCAGGTCGAAGCTAACTTGCAGCAGTTTCTTCCTGCTCTCATCGACTTCTGGAGCCAGGGTCGATTCCCAATCGATCGCCTGATCACCAAGTATCCCTACACCGATATTAACCAAGCAATCGATGATATGCATCATGGCAAATGCATAAAACCAGTGCTAACATGGACATGACGGAGGAGTAAAGGGCCAAGAACCTTACTTGCGGCCATTCAGGAGCCACTGGTTGTCTCGCTGATGGAAAATTCTACGCTTGTAGATTGCACAACTCAGAGTGAATCCTGGTGGCAGTCCGTCCGTATCACACCGGTAGTCACACAAGAGTCGAGTACCCTTTAAGCATCCCTGGGTTGCATGCGCGGATTTGGCATCTCGTTCAATTGATGACAATAAAGGTTCTCCTAAGGTCGAAACAGAATTGCTTGTAGACAAATATATCTAGAGATGAGCCTCAGGTGAAGCTGACGGAAAAGGGGCACCCAGGGGAGACACTCGGTCTGCGGACTAACGATATCCCGAGGCTGGGCATCGTAATTGCTCACGTTGCTACTTCGGCGCGTCCGTTCCTCGCGAGATCACCAGTGATCAATAGTTGAGCGACGAAGGCTACAGTTCCCGATATACTTTGTTTTCTGACAAGAAGCATGTCTTGATGATTTCCACCCCTCGGTAATGCCTTCTGTGAAGGTAGGCCATCAGCATGTGGCTGGACCGCTTAACCTCTGGTGCTGCAACACCCAGTGCCTCTCGTGAATCGCTCGTCTCGACGAGGCCATATTCACCCTCTCCTCGCAAGAATTCACAGCTTGCTTCGACCCAGCGAACGCTTTCAGGACTAGGTCTGTCTGCAACTAGATCCTCAGCCTCCCTTGACCTTAGTGCGAACACATCTACCACTTCCCTCACAGCCCCGGCGAGACAACCCAATGGATCCTCCCTCAGATTCGAGCAACGGCCCTCACCCAACGTCGCAGATCCCGTGAGAGTGATAAATAGTATTCTGGGAGACTCAAAGCATGGAGCAGCGGCGAATTATGGGTCTAGGGAGCAAGACAGGGAGACGAGCAAAGACATTGACTTTGGGGGCCTCAGCCTTGAAGATTTTCTTGCCCAAGAGACACCACTGCGCCTTGCTCGCGACGGCTTGACCGTGGAGATCTCAGCGAAAGAGAACAGGCAAAAATTTGAAGAATTTCACAAATCGATTACGGAATGCGATCAAATACTTACCAACGTTGAATCTTACCTGACCAATTTTAAGGCAGAGCTTGGTCAGGTCTCTGCGGAAATTGAGAATCTACAGGCTCGCTCTGTTCAGCTCAACGCCAAACTTGACAACCGTCGCAATGTCGAGAAGCGCCTGGGGCCGGCGGTGGAAGAAATCAGCCTTTCTCCATTCACAGTAAAGTCCATTGCAGAGGGTCCTATGGACGAGACCTTTGTCAAGGCTTTGAAGGAAGTGGAGGCAAGGTCATTCATATTAGAAGCCAAAGAGGACAAGGCGGAGCAGGTCAAGGCGTTGCAAGACCTGAAGCCCCTGCTCGAAGACCTCAAGGCTAAAGCTATCGAGCGCGTACGTGACTACATTGTGGCTCAAATCAAGGCCCTTCGCTCTCCCAACATCAACGCTCAAGTAATCCAGCAGCAGACTTTCTTGAGATATAAAGACCTTTACGCTTTTCTGGCTAGAAACCACCCGGTTTTAGCCGAGGAAATTGGGCAAGCATATGTCAACACAATGCGGTGGTATTATAGCAGTCATTTTTCTCGATACCAGCAAGCTCTTGATGCTCTTCAGATCCACGCCTTTGATCAATATGACCTTCTCGGCTCAGAACCGGCCCCGGCAAGGCGAAATGTCCTGGGGGCATCCAAAGCTGCTCCTCCGCCACATGATGCCTTCGGCCTAGGAAGAAGAGAAGACCTCGTCAAATCCAAGAACGACACAGCCTTGCCTGCCTACCTGGCGGAGGAGAGCAAGTCGGCTCACTACTTGGAAGTGCCCTTCCGGAATTTCAACCAGGCACTCATCGACAACGTCTCCGCCGAGTACTTGGTGATGACTGAGCTGTTCTCTACCAGCACGTATCATCAGATCTCGCGTCGGGTGGTTGAGATCTTCGAGCCGACGTTCACATTGGGCCATAATCTGACCAAGTCTCTTGTTGAGAACACGAACGATTGCTTGGGCGTCTTGCTCTGCGTCCGTCTCAACCAGCATTTCGCATTCGAGCTGCAACGGCGCAAGGTGCCAGTGGCAGACTCTTACATCAACTACACAAACATTCTCCTCTGGCCGCGCTTCCAAATGGTCATGGACGCGCATTGCGAATCCCTGAGAAAAGTCCCCGCCCCATCGACCAGCAGTCGAGGCGCTGCAGCTGCATTCTCCCTCGTTGGTGGAGGCTCGTCCGATGCATCGAGAGCCTCGGTCGCACCCCACGCCATTACACAGCGCTTTGGCCAGTTCTTGCAGGGAATCCTATCACTCAGCGCAGAGGCCGGCGATGACGAGCCCGTCTCGAACAGCCTTGTGCGGCTCAGGTCCGAGTATGAATCTTTGATGGGCAAACTCGCCAAAGGGGCCGGCGACGTGAGTAAAAGGGCCAAGTTCCTGTACAACAACTACAGTCTGGTGTTGACCATTATCAGCGACACGAGAGGCAAGCTGGCCGAGGAACAAAAGGAGCATTTTGGCGGCCTGATCCGGGACTTGAAGAAGTAAAAAATAGATCAAACATTTGAAATAATGAGGCATGGGAAATGAGGGTAAAAAAGGATAGATCTATTGTTTCTTTCTTCGGTGATATGTTATTTCACCAGCCCTACGTACAGCCTCTTCTCGGTCCTATACCGAGCTGTAATGGCTAACTACCTAGGTAGCCCTAGTAGCTCTCTCGACGGAATACCTATCGCCCGTCCTCCCGTTCTGATTAGCCCCTCGCCGCTTTGCTCACCTTCGGCTCACCTGCCGCTCACTGAGCGATTCTTGCATGGCTCTAGAAGGCTATCGGCTGTCATACCTGGAAACCTAGGGGCTGCGAGGATTAAAAGCGGCAACAAAATCAGCCAAAGACCAGGCAGTTATATTTAGTCTAACTATCACACCTGAACTCCATCGCCGCTCACTTCGATGTATATCACGTGATTAATACTAGCTAGACGTGGTAAGTTTAGCGAGCGCAACTTATCAACACTTCGATCAACTTCAAGTCTGCCTTACTCTACTCTGCACAATGAAGGATCTGCCCTTCGATCCCTCCACTCTCACAAGGGAAAAATTACGAGGCGTCGGCGTTGGACTCTCTTCCGAGGTCGTGCATATCGCGGGGACAAATATTGTTGCCAAAATTCCCGCCCCACAGGATCTCGAGGATCAAAAGGTCGAGAAAAGGATATATGAGCGTCTTCAGGGGCATCCAAATATTCTCCGCTATCTGGGTCAAAGCCCTCCAGCGTGCACGCTGTTACGCAATGCCCTGTTATTTGAATACCATCGTCATGGCAGTCTGATAGATTGCTTGGACAAGATTGTTCCTGGACGAAGTCGGTTCGTCAACGTCACTCCCTCTCATGCTCGAAACACTGACAGATCTTAGTTGGCCCTCTCAAGCCGTATCAGCTGTGGCATATATTCATTCTAAAGGCGTTGTGCATGGGGATATTGGTCTTCATAACTTCCTCCTTCATGACGACGGTAGACTCGTTTTGTGCGACTTCGCAGGCTCCGGTCTAGATGAGTTACCTCCTAACGTGAGCGCCGGCGTACGATATCTCAACC